TATATATATATATATATATATATATATCACATCACATTTAAATAATATATTTGTAATATTTTTCTTCTTATTTTTTTAATATTACTTAATATATTTTAATATTGAATATTACTTAATATATTTTAATGTAAATTCATATTTATTCAAAAAATATTCAGCTTTAAAAATATCCAAATGATACATAGTTTCCTGTTTTTTCTTTGTTTTTGTTTTTTTTGTTTTGTTTAGTTTTTTCCATCTTTAGGTTTTCTAGATAAACAGCATCTACAGCAGCAGCATATGGGACATTATTTGCCGGGAGCATTATTTGATCAGCTTCAGCATACTCAAAGCTCTAGGAATAGCGGTAATCATGTGGTATTTTTGACCCTTTAATGTCGTTAATAAATCATAATTACAATGCACAGCTCAGTGGGGATGCAACCCTTGATTATGATGCAATCATTCAACGTGATTTCAAAGGTGAAATAACCTTCATTCAGGCCGCAGTGACCCTCCAGTCGGTTTCTATTGTTGTTCTCATGTCTTCCACTCCAAAGGGCAAATAATGTGGCTGAGACATCCTGCAAGCCGATTGGCTGAAGGCTGGAATGATTGTTTCTCAGTCGGACTTAGAGGGGATTTTATTAAGTGGCGAAGAAAAAAAGAACAAGCCGACAAGAGCAATGGGGTTTATGTCCAGCTGAGAGAACTTGAGCCCAACTGCAGACCACAACAGCCATTACATCAAATCTGTCTGCAGCCGCACAACCGCTCAAACACGACCTCCACAATCACATCTGAGGGCCTTTTCTTTATACAGAGTGCATGTATTGTGATGCATCTTTTAAAAATGATATATACAGAAATGTCATTTTGCAGACACTTATAAATGTGTGAATGTTATTCATGAGATCTGTGAGAAGTGTCTGTATCTGCGAGTCTCAAATGCTGCAAGAGCTTTTCTCTGAACCAAAGTCACATTTCCTAAGTGTTCGTTTGAAGTACTCTTGACTTATTTTTCAATACATGTGTCACTTTGATATTTTATCACAATCAGTGGCTTTTATACTTGTTTAAGTGTCAAAAGGCGCCATACTGTTATAAAAGAATAGTTCACCCAAAAATGAAAATTGGCTGAAAATGTACTCACCCTCAGACCATCCAAGATATAGGTGAGTTTGTTTCTTCATCAGAACAGATTTGTATAAATTCAGCATTACATCACATGCTCACCAGTGGATCCTCTGCAGTGGATGGGTGCCGTCAGAATGAGAGTTTAAACAGCTGATAAAAACATCACAATAATCCACAAGTAATCCACACCACTCCAGTCCATCAATTAATGTCTTGTGAAGTGAAAAGTTGCATGTTTGTAAGAAACAAAGTCATCATTAAAGCATTTTAACTTCAAACTTCACAATTGACCATCCCTTGTCCATCCTGTTGTCCTCTCTCATCAAAATCCACCCACATATTTGTTTAGAGCTGTTTTGGACTGTTTTGGCTTGTAAACGGTGCTTCATCCAAGCATATTTCTCTCTTGATTCAGATGAGATGACTTTTTCACTGAAGAAAGCAATATTATGTATTATGGCATCATATTTTAGACAGAAGCAACAGTT